CCCCGCCCCCATTTTTGGCATTAGCAATACTCAAATATAGCATTTGGGAAAATATATGTTTTAGAAAGTGAAAGTCCTCTTTTCCCTCCTTCCCCATGGGACCTCTGTTAACAGTTTGATGCATATCTTGCTAGTAGTTTTTCTCTCTCCCATTGTTGTCTGTGTTCAGTTGCAAGAAACAGAACCTGAAAAATAGTGACTTAAATCATAAGGACATTTATTGCTTAAGAAGCCTAGAGGTAGCTGACTGGCTTCAGAACCCATTTGTGACTCAACAATGCACCATCTCTGGTCTGTGTGTCTGCGGTTCTCTTGGCCGGTGCCTCATGGCTACAGACGGCTGCTGCACCTCAAGTCCCACATTCTCACACATCACGGGACATTCCTCATGGAAGGAAGGAGCTGGGGAAAAGCAGCTTCTTTCCTGGCAAGGCTTTTCCTTTTTCTTTTTTTTAAATATTGAATTTTCTTTTTAAAATATTTTTATTGATTTCAAAGAGAGGAAGGGAGAGGGAAAGAGAGATAGAAACATCCATGAGAGAGACATGAGTTGGCTGCCTCTTGCACGACCCCCTACTGGGGATCAAGCCCCAAACCAGGGAATGTGCCCTGACCGGGAATTGAACCGGTGACCTCTTGGTTCATGGGTTGATGCTCAACCACTGAGCCACACCTGCCAAGCAAAGCTTTTCCTTTTGATCAAAGGAGAAAATCTGTCCTAGAAGTCACCCTGCAAACTTTCCCTCATGTTTCTTTGGCAAAAAGAACCAATTTTTCATAAAACCAATTATTCTTCATCCCAGGGGCCTGCTTGCCCTGAGCCCATAGCTATCTGGCTGTTGCTTGAAAAAAACTGGGCATTCTGTTTGCAAGGAGGAACGGGTCGTGGGGCGAGGGGGGGGCGAAGTGAGGGATGGCTATGGGGAAAAACCAGCTGTGCTTACCACAGGTAATGAGTGCATTAAAAAAATTTATCTTGGTCTTATTTTTTAACAGTAATGGGTTGGAATTATATTATTATTCAACTCAGTATTTTCACTTAATTGCACGTATCCAGCAGATAGGGCAGTACATATAGATTTATCTCATTCTTTGTTACTATTGCATAGTATGTGGTGGTTTCCTGTCTTTTACTATTATAGAGGATGTGGCCATTAATTTTCTTATACAGCTCTCTTTGTGCACATGTGTATTCTCTAGGGGAGATATCTGGATGTAGAATTGCTGGATAAACACATTGAAAAATTTGATTAAAATACTTGATAAAAATTTTTCTCCAAAGAGGCCATGCCAGCTAAGCAGTGATAAAATGTCACTGCTAGATACCACTTTTTATAACCTAACTAGAGGCCTGGTACATGAACTTCATGCACTTGGGAGCAGGGCGGGGGTGGGGATCCCTCAGCCCAGCCTGCACCCTCTCGCAGTCCTGCACCCTCTCAGGAGCCCTTGGGGGATGTCCGACTGATGGCTTAGGCCTGCTCCCCATCAGTCGGACATCCTTAGTGCTGCCACGGAGGCAGGAGAGGCTCCTGCCACTGCTGCTGTGCTAGCCAACCGTGAGCCCGGCTTCTGGCTGAGCAGTGCTCCCCGTGTAGCACACTGACCACCAGAGGGCAGCTCCTGCATTGAGCGTCTGCCCCCTGGTAGTCAGTGCGCATCATAGTGACCGGTCATTCTGCCCTTCAGTTGATTTGCATATTAGCCTTTTATTATATAGGGTGAATGAAAAATGATATCTATTACTTTTTAGTTGGTTGTACTCTGAGTTTTATTCCTTCCATTGAAAAAAGGACAACAAAAGTTATATGATTCACATATTCCATAAAAGAAGTTAATACTCGTTCCCCTGGGAAAGCAGCCTCCCATCACCCTCCACCTCCCAATTATGACAGTATTTGTTGACATTTTCTTTTCTTGCTATTATTTTATTCATCTTTGTATCTCCAGCATCTAGTTTAATGCTTGCTCCACATACAAGATATAAAATTTTATGAGCTTAAAAAAATCTGATGTGACTCAGTGGTTGAGCGTCGACCTATGAGCCAGGAGGTCACGGTTCGATTCCTGGTCTGGGCACATGCCCAAGTTGTGGGTCCGATCACCTAGAGTTGGGTGTGCAGGAGTGAGCTGGTCAATGATTCTCTCTCATCTTGATTCTATCTCTCTATCCTTTTCCCTTCAGTGGGGCAGGGGCCTTGGCCTGGCACCGCCTGTGTCCCCCGCCACCCACTCCCGGTACCCTGTTCACCATCAGGCAATGGGAGCCTGCCGGCTGGGAGGAAAAACCAAGAGTTCGGCTATTCTGCCAGCTTGCTGGCCCCGTCCCCCGCCGCCACTCATCCCAGGTTCCCCGTTCACCATTGGGCGATCAGAGCCTGACGCCCGGGGGAGGGACTGAGAAGTCAGCCGTTCTCGCCTGCTTGCCAGCCCTGCCCCCACTGCAGGTCACCCTCTGTGTGTGGGGTGACCGGCAGGGCGGGGGCCTTGGCCTGGCGCCACCCGTGTCTCCTGCCACCCACCCCCAGTTCTCTGTTCGCCATCAGGTGATGGGAACATGCTGGCCAGTGAAAGGGACCGAGAGATGGTTGGTGCACCTCCTAGTGATTGGTCAAGCGGTAGTTCTGGTTGTTCTGCTGTTAGGGTCAATTTGCATATTACCCTTTTATTATATAGGATTATATAGGACTAGAGGTCCAGTGCACAAGATTTGTGCACTTGGTAGGGGGGTCCCTCAGCCCGGCCTATGCTCTCTTGCAGTCTGGGAGCCCTCGGGGGATATCCTACCGATGGCTTAGTGCTTCCGCGAAGGTGGGAGAGGCTCCTGCCACCACCACTGTGCTCACCAGCCATGAGCCTGGCGCTCCCCCTGTGGGAGTGCACTGACCACTAGGGAGCAGCTCCTGTGTTGAGCGTCTGCCCCCTGGTGGTCAGTGCGCATCATAGCGACTGGTCGTTCTGCTGTTTGGTCGATTTGCATATTAGCCTTTTATTATATAGGACTGGATTCATTGGGGTGACAATAGTTAATAAAATTATATAGGTTTCAGGTGTACAGTTCTATAATATATCATTTACATATTGTATTGTGTGTTCTCCACCCCAAGTCAAGACTCCTTCCATCTCATTTATAACCCCTTTACCCTCTTCTGCCTCCCTGCATTGTAATCAACATGCTGTTGTCTGGGTCTATGAGTTTTGTTTGTTTTTGCTTGACCTGTCTTTTTTAAAGGAAGGCTTTGAGCCCATTGGTTCTTGTCATGAGCCCCCATTCCTCCTGCTGTCAGCTGTAGGCAGAGTCTCTCTCTCCTGCCTAATGCCCCAGGGTTTGTGGCCATGCCTGTAAGAACCACGGGGGTGAAGAGCCAGGGCAACTAGGGAGGAAAGTGCCTGGTAAATGCCAGTGTTGTTAACTAAATATGTTATTGTGGAGAAAATGCAATCGTGGGACTGCTGATATTTTGCAGAAAATGCATTTTATTTAAAATCTCTAACAGTGGTGTTTTCTTTGAGGGTAACTTCCAAGCAGCAGGGGCCACTCTGAAGTGCAGGTTGGCAGAGGGCACTAGAGGAATGTGAATGTAGTGGGCCCTGGCCATGGCTAGCCTAAGTCAGGGGGGCCCTGGCTTACCAGCCCAGACTAGTCTAGAACAATGGCTCCAGTCCCAGCATCAGCTTCTAACTGGTCTCCCTGAACCCGTGCCTTCCTGCTAGGAGCAGTCCTCCATCCTGGAGTCATACACATTGTGTGCACCTGACCCCCCCACCCCCAGGGGAAAACCAGCTGACCAGTCCTAGTTAGCATTGAACTTGTCGAGAAGATGGGACAAGTTCAACCTTGGAGGATGTAGCACAGTCATCACGAGATTCCTATAGAGAAGGTGCAGGACGGAAAAGAGGGGAGAGGGCCTGGAAGGACTATCCCCGTAAGATCAGAGTTTGGTTCCAGATGGAAACATTGGAGATTTTCAAAGGGAAGGTTGTGCTGTGGTTAGAGAGGAGTCACAATGTGAAGGCGGGGAGTTTGGAGTTAGATCTGAAGGCAGGCGGGTGATGCCTAAGGCTTTGGAGCCATGGGAGGCCGGGGGGATGTCAGGAAGAGTAGCCTGTGGCCGGTGCAGGGTGGAGCTGGCAAGGGAGAATGGAGAACAGCCTGGTCCAGGAGAGAGGGAATGGCCTAGGCAGGGCAGTCATGGGGGCAGAGGGGAGGGGGCCATTTAAGAAGAGTGGGCCGGCCGTGTGACATGCTGAATGCTGGAGCAAGAGGGAGAAGCCCTGAGACACAGGACCTGAGACCTTCTCCCCTACAGCCACCGAGCTGGTCTTTAAAGGGTGCCAATCCCGAGACCCAGCATGGACTGTGCTCCCTCCCTTGCTGTTCTCCCGAGTCCCATGTTACACAAGGTGGAGCTGTGCTTGCCCTCCTTCCAGTGCACCAAGGGGCCTCCTGCTCTCCCAGCACCGCCTCCTCCTCTAAGTGAGTTGTGTTGGCATCTCTCAGACCTGGACCCTCCCATGCTGGATACTCACCAGAGCCCTCCCAGGGGAGAAGGCCCTGCTAACCCACGTGGTGGTCTGTCTGGGGAGAGAGGGCTCCTGTGCCTGTGCCATGCTGTGTCAGGCAGTCACTCAACATCTCGGGACAGGAAAGAGTTTCGTGTCCGGATCTAACCCTGACTTGCCATGTATCCTCAGGCCTGTCCATGTCCCTCTCCAGCCCTCAGCCTCCTCATCTGTAAAATGGGACTGGCAACACCTTACAGGGAAGTGACCTCATAACACCCCCTCCTGCTAGAGCAGCTGTACCTTCTGGATAGCATCAGCCCTTGAACCCTCCAGGGCAGAGGGGAGGGGGTCAGGGAGGAAGGATGTCCTGCACCCAAATGTGAACGCAGCCCTGGGCCCCACTTGCTGCTGCATGGTGCCTTCCCCCACCATCAGCCTGGAAAGAGAGAAGCTACATCACAGCTTGAGTCCCCAGGACAAAGACAGTCAGCAGAGAGGAGTCAATCATTTATTGCAGGAAGGGGGGTGGGGGGATGGGAGGGGAGGTTTTTTTTTTCTGCCAAGGGCCATTTGTATATTTGTAACATCATTTTCCGGCCACACAAAATTATCAACAAATTAGCCTGCTATATTTGGTCAAACATTTAATTAACTCACCCCTAATGCTTTGGCAGGGCCAGACCCAATGATTTCAGGGGCCTTATAAGGCCTACAGGCCGGATGTTCCCCACCTCTGACTTACTGACTCTTATTGACAAGAAGTCAGTTCCCTGGGCACCAGGTGCAACATGTCTCCCCTGCTCCCCCACCCTCCAGTCGCTGGCCCCAGACCCTCAGTGCCAATCACCTTTGCAACCTGAGATCCCTGTGGGGTCTGAGAGGCACAGGGAGGCAGAAATCAAGGATTCTGTAGTTTAAATATGTAAAGTGTGACAACCCACCAGACCCTCTGTGGCCTAGTATGTTGGCGCAGAACAGGTGGAGAGTGGAGGGGTGGGGGTGGGGGCAGGTGAAACCAGGAGGCCTCCAGAGTCCAGGGTAGAAAGGAACCGGATCACATTTCCGTCGGCAAGCAGGGTTTTATCTTCCGTAAGATAGCGGTAACCCATTTGTCTGTCTTCAAGGCACAGCTCTTCTTGCCTCCTTTCAATTTGAATCTGTGGGCAGAGAACCGAAAAGGCACCGAGTCACCTGCCAGGCACCGTACAGGAGTCCCCTTGCCCTTCCTTACTGCTGGGTGCCCCTACGCTGCTGTCTCTCTAACAGGTGCAGTCACTGCGCCAGACCCGTGGCGGCCTTACCGGGGGCGCACCCACGCTTCAGGGGAGCTTATTAAACGGCCTTTCCTGCGCCTCTTTCCCTGAGATTTTCCCCGGTGCGTCCGAGTGGAGCTGAAGGCTGTCAACATCCCGAGGATTAGCAGGCATGGAAAATTCCCCTCCTGAGAACCTTGGAGGGCTTCCCTGCTCTATCTTTTCCCGTGTCTGTGTACGTTAGGGACGCTCAGTCATCCTAAGGGTGTGTGTGTGTGTGTGTGTGTGTGTGTGTGTGTGTGTGTGTTTCTTTTCTGATCTGCCCCCTCCCACACCCCACCCTCCTGGCTCCTAAGCTTGGCCATGGACCAAGTAGACCAGTTCTGCCCTTTGCTATCTGGGTGATCTCAGACAACTCTCTACCTCCCTGAACCTCAGTTTTCATGATAATGAAAATATGTGACCCCAAGATGATTAACCAAGACAATATACACAAAAGTGCCTTCTAGACACGGAGCGACAAGGTGATAACGACCTGGATGCAGCTATGGTGTGGACTCCACCTCACAGGTAGGACTGCAGAGGAGCACCAGGAGAATGCAGGGCAGAGAGTCCCCTGCCCAAGGCCACCCAAGACGAGAGGCTGGCAAACCTGGAGTCAGGCGCTAATCGTGATGCCCTCACTCCTCTGGCTGTGCAGTAATAGCGGGAGCATGTAGGCAGCTCCTTTAATACTGTGTTAGGATAGAACACTGGGCTCCTCGGAGCGCCGAGAAACTAGTCACTGCAGGACACACCGGCGCAGGCGAGGACGCGCGGAGCACCCCCTGGCGCCCACACTCAGCTCTGCACCCAGGTTTTAGAGGCCTTGCTCTGGGGTTTAGAAACCTTACTCTGGTGGGACATCGCCATCTAGCGACCGCTTTTCTAATTCCAGTAGCGGTTTCTGTTCTCTGGAGGAGGAAGTCAGGAATTGAGCAGGGAATGGCACTCACATTAGACGATCCTGGTGGGAGCAGGAGGAACTGGAGTTTCTGTAACACTGGATGCTCTTCAGGGAAATCGCTTTCCTTACAAACGTGAAGCAACAATTGGAAGACGGCACGTGCACTAGAAGAGAGACACAAAAATGGTTCAGCAGTTCGTCAACCTGGCTTTCTTTTCTCTCTTTCAACAACAAAAACCACCCTGGCCGGTTTAGCTCTGTGGATAGGGCGTCAGCCTGCAGACCAAAGGGTCCCTGGTTCAATCCCTGTCAAGGGTGCAACCAATCCATGTGTTTCTCTCACATTGATTTTTCTCTCTGCCTTTCCCTCTCCCTTCCACTCTCTCAAAAAAAAAAAAATCAAAACAACAAACAATAAACCCTTCCAGGACAGGCTCAGGCTTTGGGAGGGCCCTGGGGCAGCACTGTCCCACCAGCCACCTAGTTCTGTGTTTAGGCAGAGTCAGGACACTGGGGTTCAGGTCTTAGCTCCCCACAAACCAGTGGGTGGCCTTGAGCAAGATCTCCTGGGCCCCAGACCTCCCATCTGTAAAATAAACCAGTCTCAAGATTGGTTTCTAAAGGCTCTTCCACCTCTGACATCCCACCACTCGTGTGAGGTTCTGCCCCAGTATTGGGGTTCAGGAATCTCATGCCCTGGGGGCCTGGTGAGTCTGGCCCATGCAGGACAACTATGGTCTTGGGGCAGAATTAGACACTGTTCAAGGAGCTCAAACTGAGAGAGTGACAAGGGAAGTCAGCTCCCCCACTGGCTCTCAGAATGCCCTGTCCCCCTGTCCTCAGCTCTGTCCTGACACCCGACCCTGTCTGTTTCTACACCCCGGCCCACACCCCACCCTCCTGGCTCCTTCCTCCTGGTCTTACTGTTTACAAAGCCTCTTTGGTGTATCTATCATTCTCTAAACAGCCTTGGATGTTAGACATTCTCAGTCCCACTTTAATGATGGGGAAACCAGAGTTTGAGAAGTAAAGTGACTTGCCGAAGGCTAGCCAACTCTTACAGCCCCGGGTCCTGACCTCTGCCCTTTATCTGTTACCTTGTGGAGGCAAGACCCAGGGCCCCTCTGGAACTCAGGCCTCCAGCTAATAACCTCACAGCCCCCTTCATCTGTCTGCAGGGTCTGGACGAGGCAGGGCCTCCTTTTGCAGGAGCGAATGGCTCAGCTGTCTGTGGTTGCCCAAACTCCTGGTTCTCCTACGGGCCCTGTGCCCCACCCATTCCCCCTCTTCCAGAAGAATTCTTCCCGGAGCAGGGGAGATGGAGGCAGGGAGTGTAGTGTGAGCTCTGTCTGCAACCCCAGGGTGCCTGCCCACATTGCTGCCCTCCCCAAGGTGAAGCTAAGGGACGCCAGCCCCACTCACGGCTCCAGCTGTTCCCATCCTGCAGCCACGTCCCCACCAGCAGCAGGCACACCAGGGCCGTGGTGGTGAGCTTCATCGCGGGCTGGTCGGGTCTCTCTAGAGAGGTCTCACGAGTCTGGTGAAGCAAGTGCTCTCCGTACCCCATCCCGCAGTGGCCAGGGTTTTTATAGAGCGAAATGGGTGCTCCCAGGTGGGGAAGTCATGGGGAGAAGAGGTGGGTACACAGGTCCAGGGCCGCGCTGACCACGCCCTCCCCACCTCTCTGAGGGACGCAATGCGCAAGTACCTGGAAACTTCCCACGTGCAGGAGCAGATAGGGATCTTGACGAAGTGAGTAGGAGCTGCCCCCTGAGAAGCTGAGAAGAGTGAGTGAGAGGAAGTGGCCTGCTTGTGGCTTCTCTGATCCCACATCTTTTCATCCAGGGATGCAGCCGCTGTCCCCAGCTAAAGGGCTCTGGGCCAGGACTAAGACACATGTGCATTTGGTCCCCAGTTCTGCCAATCAGCAGTTGCATTAACTCGCCCCAGTCACCTATCCAGTGCTATGTGCGAATGGTTGCATATGACTCATTGTTGTGCATATGACTCAATGTTTGAGCCCTGCCCCTCTATTTCCCATTTCAATGATCTCATCACCTGACAGCTTGCCCTGTTCCAGCAGTCCGTACGTTAGACCGGGAAAGCCACTGAGATGCACACCTGACCTCCAGCTGCTGCCCTTTGACTCACAGATAAACAGTAAAAGGCCCCCAGTGTCGGGACAGTGGGAGATGAAGGCCTCAGAGAGGCCTCCCAGGGAATGTTCACCACGCAGTCTCCCACGGAGGGCTGAATGGGAAGGGGCATGCCAATAGAGGAAGGGGCTGTGAGGCAAGATGGAGAACGTTCATTCAGAGATGCCAGGTGGAGCTGGAGCAGGGGTGGGGCGTGAGGGGAGTGACAGGAGTGAGGAAACGGCTGGGAGAGATGCGACGGTACAGCTACGGAGTGGCCAGGTCATGACGCCACTGTGCGCAGTGCTTACAATAAGTAGCACGTAGTAGATGCTCAAGAAAGAGGAGCTGGGCCGAATCTGAGGGTTAAAACCATGAGGCCAGCGCGCGCTCTATGCTCATCGAGTGTGGGCCGGGCTGATCTGCGCGGCCGTGCACTCTCTAGCTCACAAAGCAGCAGTGGCTTCCCATCGTCAAGTGCACGAAGCTCAAGCTGCTCATTCGTGGCTCCTCCTGGAATGTCTCCTTGGGTTCCTGCGTGTCTCAATGTTTGCGATTCCCGAACTTGCCACATGCTTTTCTGTGTCCAGGACTTCGCTTCTGCTGTAACCTCCACCTTCAGGGCCCTCCTCGCTGTCTCCCTCTGTGAACTTTCTGCCCATCTCCAATGCCTTTGTCTCCTTGAAGACCCTTCTGCTGTTCCCATCCAGCCTCCTTTGAAGAGCCCCCACCCCCACGCCTGGATCTCCCCCATGAAGGTCTCAGATCTCTGCCACCCCTCTGCTCCGTGCATTCTTCAGAGAAACACCTGGGTGGGCGTCCTGGCGTGTCAGAGTTGAACGGGCCTGGAAGACCATATGCCAACAGTGGCTCTGAAAGTGTCCTGGGTGAGCTTTGGAAAGATGTCTTGGCCTCGTTTCAGAACCAGAATCAAAACCTAAGTACCGCCCTGGCCGGTTTGGCTCAGTGGATAGAGCGTCAGCCTGCAGACTGAAGGGTCCTGGGTTTGATTCCAGTCAAGGGCACATGCCTGGGTTGCGGGCTTGGTCCGATGTGCAGGAGGCATCCAATCAATGATTCTTTCTCATCATTGATGTTTCTATCTCTCTCTCCCTCTTCCTTCCTCTCTGAAATCAATAAAAATATATATTTTTAACAAAAACCAAAAAACAAACAGAAAAACCTAAGTACCACCCTGGGTCGGCGTGGCTCAGTGGTTGAGTGTCATCCTATGAAATAGGAAGTCACAGTTCGATTCCTGGTCAGGGCACATGCCCAGGCTGCGGGCTTGATCCCCGGGGCGGGGGGGGGGGGGGGGGCATGCAGGAGGCAGCCAAACGATAATTCTCTCTCATCATTGATGTTTCTATCTCTCTCTTACTCTCTGAAATCAATACAAATACATTAAAAATAACAAACTAAAAAAACAACAACTTATGTACCTATACTTGTAATTCAGGCCCCAGAAGATAAGAATCATGTATCCAGCACATTCTCTTCATATTACAGATGGGAAAAAGGCATCTCAGAAAGAGGAAGCTGACTTCCCAAGGTCACACTGAAAAGTATGGCAGAGATGGGACTATGGGCACTCAGGCCACCTGGGCATCTGACCTCCACCTCCATCAGTTCCCATGCTCCCGCCAGCTGCGGCCTGCCGCCCACAAAGTACTTGAGGTAGTAGACATGACTAGCTGTTGTCAGTCTCCTGATCTCTTTGTCTTTGCAGATTGTACTTTTAAAAATTTCTTTACTGTCAATTTAGGGGGGGTGGGGTTTGGGAGAGAAAAGAGACAAAGGTATGTGACCAATCTGCTGACTGTTGTAACCATAGGTCCTTTAGACTCACTTGGGACATGGAGAGGACAGATGTGGTCACCCAGGAAATTCTTTCCTTCTCTTGGGGACACAGCTGACCCACTCGGGAAGGAGACGGGGCTGCCCCTCCAGAAACTCACTTCTCCTCCCCCGTCACTGGGAGCCAGGACTGGCAAGGAGAGAACAGAGAGCTTAATCATGCTTCCCCCCTCGGACTCCTCGGCACCGGCCCCAGGAGAACTGGCTGAGACCCTCTTAGGCAGGACCTAGTGCTCCACACACCGGTCTGCCCAAGCCCAGCCTGGCCTCTTCCTCTCTAGCCCCTGGCAGAAAGGTGAGGGCCAAATAGTCAGTACATCAATAAAATGCGTGGACTTGAATGAGGTGGGTCACAATGGCCTAGGATGGATCGAGAGGCAACCCTGAGCCAGTTGTTTCTACGAACAATGCTTTTCTTAGATGTTTGAGAACCAGGAAGTGCCCGTAGAAAGGTTTTCTCAGTCATCTTTTATGAAATAGGTTCCCACCTCTGGACCAGGCCCCAGCTGCCTCCTGTAAACACAAGCCCAGCTCCCAGTCAGGCCCCCCAGTGTGCAAACGCCTTGGGATTCAAAACCCTCTCTCGCATTTTCCAGGGCCTCTTACACTCCGCTGGGGTTCCTTTGCCCCCTATTTTCTCTCTCACAGTCAGCACTTTTGTTTTTGGAGGAGGCCTCTCTTGTCTGGCTCCCAGCGACACCGTGAAGGGGGCTTTAAGCATCTTTTGTAGCAACAGCAAACCTTCAGGTGCCCAGAGAAAGTGATCAGCTCTCCAGTGTGTGGACACAGCCTCTGAGCTACTGAGCCGACAACACTCAGCCCCTGTGCCCGAGAGGAAGGACAAATGCCCCGCTTACACAGCCCTACACCATGCGGCCACACATGGGACGTCACTCTCCCTTCTGCCTGTGATGTCCTTCCAGCCTCATCGGGCTGACTAGCTGCAGGCCAGCCCACCTGGGCTCCCCGCTCTCCCCCCGCCCCCGCCCCAGCCCCCCGTGAATGGGACTTGCTCCTTTAGCCGTTGTATTGCCTGATGGGCCACATCCCTCACTCGCCTGTAGGCCTGTACGGAGTGGCTCAACAGGGAGCCCAGGGACGCGGCTGTGGGCCCGGCTTCACAAGATCCTGATCACCAAGCGCAGGCCTTTTGCCCTCTCTTGGCAGCGGAAGGCCATGAACATTTTTTTATTGAGAATAGGGGTGTGGCCAGATTTGTGATTTGGACTGAAGGCTTGTGCAAGACAAGGAATGAAGTCACCTTTAGATGTGAAAGAGTCCAGGAGAGGTGGCAGGTGAGGTTCTTCAGTGAAGGAGCATAAAAACATGCTTCCCACCCACCCTCCCCTGCCTTCGCAAGATGCATAGTTTTGATTCAGCGTCAGACAGCTCAGGATCACAAAGCTTTCTGAATCCAAACCCCTGTCCCGCCTTACCGGGCTTCTCTGAGCTCCCGACTTCCTGGTGCTTTCTAAGTTTCAGCTGGAAGCATTTTGCTGGGCCCTAAACGCCCCAGGGGCTGGGATCAGCCCGTTAGGCTCTATTGCCTGGACCCTCACCAGGAAGGGAAGGTGACTCCCGGAAGGCTCCCTCCGCATCCCAGACCTGACCCGAAGGCCAGTTCCACCAGGGGTGGCTGGGCAGGGGTCTGCCCACACTTGGAGACCCAGAGTCACTGTGCCAAACTGCGGAGGGTCCCAGGGCACCCCGGCTGGGGACTTCGGATGGAGTGAAGTGGTGGGATGGGACTACCTGGGGAGGCTTTTCAATGCACTCCTATTGCCCTAGAGCAGCGATGGCGAACCTTCTGAGCGCGGCGTGTCCGCCTTTTGAAAAACCCTACCTTAACTCTGGTGCCCTGTCACATATAGACATTTTTTGATATTTGCAACCATAGTAAAACAAAGACTTATATTTTTGATATTTATTTTATATGTTTAAATGCCATTTAACAAAGAAAAATCAACCAAAAAAATGAGTTCGCGTGTCACCTCTGACATGCGTGTCATAGGTTCGCCATCACTGCCCTAGACTCAGCATATGAAGTTCCAGAGTGGGGCTCAAGCACATGTCTTTTGATAAAAGGTTCCCGAATAATCCTAACATGCATCCCATTTCCAGGGAAAAGAGTCACTGAGTTAGGCCAACCCTCCTACATTTCAGGTGAAGAAACTGAGGCACAGAGACAGAAAGTTACCTGCCAGAGGTCCCAAAGAAAGTGAGCAGCAGGGCCCAGAGGCCCCATTTTCATATATATATATATATATATATATATATATATATATATATATATATAGAGAGAGAGAGAGAGAGAGAGAGAGAGAGAGAGAGAGAGAAGGAAAGAGAGAAACATCAGTGATGAAAGAGAATATTTGATCAGTTGCTTCCTATACACCCCCTACTTGGGATCGAGCCTGCAACCCAGGCATGCGCCCTGACCAGGAATCAAATCATGACCTCCTGGTTCATAGGTTGATACTCAACCTCTGAGCCACACCAGCTGGGCCCCATTCCCCACGGAGCAGGAAGAGCCCCTAGGAAGAATTGGGGTGGGTCATCTCACTTGAGAGATGAGGAGCAGGAGGCCCAGAAAGGAAAAGTGAGTTGCCACATGGGGCCCCAGTGATGGCACCCTGAAGATAAA